TATTTACACCAGATGATCACATTAACAATATTTGATCTAACAACATTAAGAAAAGAAGGTGTGTTGATAAAGAGATCCCAATTGAAGAAGCATGCCCTCATTCATTGAGAGTTGTTACAGAGTGCTCAGGCTTAAGATACTGCAATGAAAAAAGAAATGGTTAAAACATCATTTGATCTGTAATTTGAAGTACTAATGATTACAAAAAAGTACTGTAATACTCCAGCAATACCTTCAATAGTAAATAAGTGATCAATTAGCAAATAGAGTTTAGTCCGCATGATGTAGTGATTTCCAGCATAAGTACCTTTGTCCACAGGGCAAGGTCATGAAAATAGGAGATTATTGCCCTTGGATAACTATAAGGAGAATGGGTAGAATCTGTTTTCCTTCCTTGCAATGGAAAGTCGATTTAATTTATTTTGCATCATAAATTCCATGTTATAGAAGAAACACAACTTGCTGAATGACTGTCATACTGCTAACTCTGCAACTTTTGTTTTAAATTCAAGCGCAAAAAAAAAAAATTTCTAACATGGCAACCAAAACAATGATAATTTTAAGTCCTGTAGAAGCAAGTATATTGCCTTGATGATTAAATAGACATCCTGTTATGTTGACACGGAAAGCTGACATACCGGAGTCTTCTTGATAAAATAAAGCATAGCACCAGGTATAAGCAGGGCCCAAATAACTGCATTACGCACACTTCGAGGCTTGAACTTAAAGAACCGGTCGGTGTTTTCTCTGATCCAACCAAACTTTTCAATAGCTGGATCTTTCTGTAAAGACAGATCAACGAATTTTCAGCATTGACATCGTCGTAAAAGGGTGTATACTTTACATGAAATTGAATTGCATGGCTGTCTATACTTTTCCCAGTTTCTGTGGCATGAAATGTTTTGGAACACTCTCACAAGTTACCGCCAGCATTTTGTTAGATGCTTCGGACAATTAGATGATAATCATCAAGCAATACAAGTTAAATCATGAAGGTGCTACGAATAAAGGAAGCATTATTCAACAAATTGAGGCCACTAAAGAGAGATCTTACAGAAATTTTACTTACCAAAAGGGCAGCGCAGTCTTCGGGTGCATATATCCTTCCCGTCGCTTTATATTGGGCAGCATATTTTGCCTACGAAGTGTTTCATTTTGGAAGAACTAAGCGCTATTAAAGACACTCAAGATAGGAATAGTTGATAAAGAACACTTTTCTATATTAATAACAGCCTTTACCTGCATTTTAAGACTTTCTTCGGTAGGACTGGGCCCGTGGGGATAAGAGAATCTACCCCAGCGATCCGCCATCTTGAAGCAATCGACTTCGGTACGTATTTTAGTGCCCGTTCTCTCTCGGTCGACTTAGGTCTTTTTGGGGAGGGGTGGGAGGAAAAGCTAGTGGTATAACACTAAAAAAAAATGTTTTATGAGTTTTTTAATTTCACCCATTTTAATTCTGATTTGGCTTGGTCTGTTACGCAACACACTCTGGAGATAACGTTTGCGTTATAAGAACAAACAAGAGAGCAACGAAGGAGATCAAAGAAAAAAAAAAAAACAAAGTGTAGCCTCCTTGCAGCCGCTCTTTGGGATATCACGCAACGCCAAAATTTTGGGTAGACGTTGTGTGACATTCTAAAGAGTTGTAAACAGTGACTTGACTTCTTTTTTTTACCTCTAACTTTCCTGTTTTTGGATGAAAGTGTCCTCGAAAATACTTAGAATTCATCCTTACTTGATTGTGGCGACAATACTGCCGACAAAAATGAAATTTATTTCAATTCAAGCTGTTGACTAACGTCATGCTTTTTAGAAGAAACGTCGTGTTTAACCGTCCATTTTTACCGTAAAAAATTTCTGAGGACTCTATGAAAACTGAGGAGCTAATTTTGCAAAAAGGTTTGTTTTCGCTAAATAGGGAATCTCGCACATTTTTGTTTATTAGTTTGACGAAGCGTCTGTGCATAAACATCCCACTTCCCTAAAGTCGCATATAAAACCAACCGCTTGTTCGTCCATGAAATTCAAATTGTAATCACACAGTTTGTTACTTCCGCAGTAACACGTCATTTTCTTCAAAACTGAGCGGACACCATATCGGTTTACGCACATATCGGTAAGCGGGCAAACCTCGCTGTCTCCAGCACACGTGAAACAAAAACACGGTCCAAAGCAATACCAGCAAATTTGAGCGACTATGCTATCTTCTCGATCGTCGTAGCTCTCCATGAACCTAGTTTCCCTGGTGCAACAATCGCCGAAAGTTTCTGGGCAGGTTTTTTTGCACCCCCAGCATAAATAAACTCCGGGAGCGCAAATGAGTAGATATGATAAGAATCCCAAGCAATTGAAGCAAAATATTTCGCAATCACACGTACGTGGTGTACACTGTAAAGCCGAACATAGACAGTTACATCCCAAGCGCTTCTTGCGCGGCTGCGTTGTGATCACAGCACTTGTCTGTGATTCACGTGAAAATTGTCTTTCTCTCTCACTGTTTCCCTCGCGCTGACCTGGTTGAATTACTATGACGTTATTCGGGCTTCTGGTCATTGGTGAAACTCTGGAGTGATCCGCCCACGTTGCTGCATGCGAGCTAACTTGCCTATGTGTTGATCCCACCGCAAATGAGTTCTGATTTTCTGAATATGGCGGCGGTGGACGATCATTTATGGCCTCTTCATATGTCGGTGGTGGACTCGAAGGACGGTGTTCGTCTCCCATTTTGAGACTACGAAGTTTTGTGTAGTTTCTTCTTGTCCTCTTCCAAAAAGCGCTCACGGTTTAGTAACGGAACCTTGTTTGTAAACTAAGCGAGGAAATTTAGAAAATCTAACTTACTAACATGCAAATCAGAAACCCCTATTATTCCCTTTGTTCTGATAGTGCTACTGAATTAGAAATTCAATTTGCTTAGCAACCACTGTAAATAATACTTTTTTTTTCTTGGCTGCGTCCACAGATCGATAAACTGGGACCTAATCAGACAAAAGGCGGAAACATTTAGTTTATTTTGACGTGAATTATCATTGCATTCACTTGCAAAATCTCATTTTATTACTCAAACTGTATCTGCGGCGAAAACGATTGAGCTGGCAAGAACAATTCGACGTTCTATCGCTTTATAGAAGGAGTGACCCCACCATATTCTTAGTGTCCTCTCGTTTCTTCTCTTATCCGCCCCGCTTTTGGCACGTCCTAGTTCTTGTTTCCAGAGCAACACGTTTTCGATAAAGAAGACTTAGAAATGAGAATGAATTTTCCTCAGCATCAACACAAGCAGCTCAAAAGTGACTCAAAATATCCCTGAGTTCAGTTAATGACGTCAATCTCTGATTATTTTCTTTAGAGGAGGGAAAACTGGGGAAGAGTTATTTTTGGAAGCTGACATGGCGGACGGATTCGTCACGAGAAGTATGCTGTAACGTCAACTCGACTAGGAAAGGTTGCCAAATGAATACTGGCCTTTTGTAGACACAGAAATATATCATCATCTCTCCAAAATGTTTAGGAAAAAACCTGATCCGAAAGGTAGGGTATATGATTTGTTTGTGGTTGTCATGTTAAAGGATAGAAGATCTAATATAACCTATATTGATAAATACAGGGTACCATTTTGAGAAAATTTCTTTCTTTTTGCGAGCTCTTGCTTCATACGCATGGCCTGTATATCAGTTCCCATGTTATTATTTTAACGGTGATGGTCTCAAAATTTTTCAGGTATAACTATGATTTCGACCAATCGTGCCAGTTCGGCTGAATGTCAGATACATATATTTTCAGTTACGTTATTAGCATAATTATTTCTTTACATCTGTTACCAACCATAGGTGAGATTTAAATTAATCACAACTTTTGACTCAAGAATAAAGAATTTTAAATAAAATAACTTCTGTGGACTGCAAGAGAGAGGTATTGTGAAATTTAAAAAGGGCTACCCGTGAAAAATTGCTGTTTGCGTCGTAAAAGTGATTCATCTGTTAAGTTTGGTTAGATACAACAGATGGTTACCGCTTCTTATTGGCAAATGAAACAAGCCCTGATAAGTGTTGAGAACTAGAGGTTGATTGAATCCTAAAAGTGTTGATGCTGAAAAATAATTTTGATTGTTGCCTTCCCAACTTGCTGTATAGTTACGCTGTAGTAAAGTATAAGTAGTACACAATAAAGAATGCAAGGTTAAATTACAGAAATTCTTTAGCACAGATTGAGTCAAACGGCATGTTCAGAGTTGCTTTTAGTTCTCAGATGAACAATATCTTGTGCACAAAGCAACCAAATTTATTTTTGCATTTATTTAAAACATTGAACAGGGTGTGAAATTAATTTTTTTTCTGATAGCCACTTGGCTCCTAAATTTTTCAAAGTGGTAGCCAATTAAAAAAAAAATTGATCATCATTTTTAGAGAAAAAAAAAACCTTTCTTTTTTATGCTATCAGAGTTCTAGATAAACCCTCCAAAATTAAGTTCTACAAAGTGGACACTAGGATGGATGATATACAAATTTCAAGCTCACCTAAATCCAAGATGGTGAATAGTTTTAGACCGAGATGCATGTGCTGCATTTTGGAAACAAACTTAACAAGGAAGTTTGCCGTGGATTTATCTTTGCAAATCTTTTTAATTCACTACATCTCTAGGTATGGTTATGATTCTAGTTGCCAGTTTGGTGATTACTTTTCAGGATTTGGTTGCCAAAGTGAAAAATTTAGTCACAATGGTGCCTGTATTTGGCGCAATTTCATGCCCTGTTGAAGCACCTCAGTAGGTCTTCAGGGACCTTGCTATATTTGTCTTTGTAGTGTTTATGTATAGAAGATGACCATTGTTTATGTCTGTTCACATGTATGTGTAAGTGTGTGTGCCTATATCCCACATAACCTCACACAGGTCACATCAAAAATGATAAACAATGTGTTGTTGGTTCATGATACTTTTAAGTGTTGGTTGATTTTACGGCTAATGAACAAAGGTTGGACAGCTGTCTGTACTTTTAGGCTGAGGTCCTTGAGTTGTTTCTTGACATAATTTGCCAATTCTCATGTCCTCTACTGAAGAAACCCTTTAGCATGATGGAACCCTTTACCAGCTCCCTTCATTCTACTTCAGATATGTTGATGACACACTCACCATAATTCTTGATGTACCAACAGCAACTGATTTCCAATGCACTCTTAATAATGTCCACACTTTGATCAGATTCACTGTGGAGGTAGGAAAGAACAGCATGCTTCCTTTTCTTGGCACTCAACTACTCAACCATAATTGCAGCCTGAGTGAAAAGCAATGTTTATGTAAAACCAACTAAAACAGGTCTACTATTACACTATCAAAGCCATGTAGACAATTGTTACAAACAAAGCTTACGGACAACCATGCTTGATCACACACACCAATTATCTTCCTCTTGGACATATTTCTCTGATGAGTGTGATTGCCTAAAGAAATTTTTTTCAAGACTTAAATACCCAAAATGTCTGATTAATTCCACCATCAACAATTTTGTTCATTCAAGAGTAGCAGACCAACACTCCTCACAGGTGCTAAAAGAACAGAGGGCCATTGTTCCGGTGTTCATACCAATCAAGGACCAAGAATCAGCAAATTATGTCAAGAAACAGCTCAAGGACCTCAGCCTACAAGTACAAACAACTGTCCAACCCGTGTTTGTTAGCTGTAAAATTAACCGACACCTAAAAGTGGAAGAGAAAAAGCCACAGATTGTAGGCCAACAATGTGTTGTTTATCGTTTTCAATGTGACTTGTGTGATGCAGGTTATGTGGGCTATACGCATGTACACTTACATGTACATGTGGTTGGACATAAACAATGGTCATCTTCTTTATATAAACAGTACCAAGACAAACATGGCATGGTCTCTGAAGACCTACTGAGGCACTTTTATGTTTTAAAGAAATGTAAAAATATATTTGATTGCTTAGTGCATGAGATGTTATTCATCAGAGAACTAGAAGCAACTCTGAATGTGCAATTGGACTCAATCCATGTTAAAGTATTTCTGTTATTAAATCTTGCATTCTTTATCATGTAAATTTACTGGAGTTGTCAATACTCACAGAATTCATTACCCTAACATTTACCTTGACAATGGCATCATGAAGACCCTGGAATGCTGGTTCATATCACTATTTTTTATGTGTTTGTGTATATTAACTAAATCTTTCTTGATAATTGATTTAAATCATTTTTGATTAAAGAACAAATGAGACAACAGAAAAGGCAACTGAACAGAACACAGAGGGAATTAGCCAGGGATCAAAATGCTCTTGAGAGGCAAGAAAAACAACTGGTGAGACAAATAATTGATTAAAATCAATTATCTATCCAAATTTAACTTAAATAAAATTTATTTCTTGCAAAAGCAAGCTGTGCAGGCTATCACTAACTCAGACTATCAAGCCCAGTCCACTTCTTTATTCTCCAATCAAAGAATTTTAGATATTTTCCAAGTCAATACGTTTGAAATTGCCAAATTTATGTTTTATTTTAAAAATAACTTATTTCCCCCATTGCTTTTCAATCTTTTTGTAATGAATAGCCAAATTCACAACAGGGTACCAGAACAGCCAGTAATTATCAAGCACATTTGTGCTGTACAAATCTCAAGCAATTTACAATTCTCTACCAAGGTCCTAAAATTTGGAACTCTCTTCCTGTTTCAGTCACTTGCTTGTCAAACCTACTTTAGCTGTAAGACAAAAATGCAAGAGTTTTTATTGAAATAATCACTGAATTGGCCAAGCCACACATTTGCAGCACTTTTTTTTTCTCCATTTGATTTATTATAATTGTTAGTGAGGTGGCTCTCCCATAAGCCCAGTGGCTTCCTGGGTCTCCTCACCTTCTAGCTGTTAATGCTGTAAATAATTTTTTTGTATTGTTAAAATAGGGCAATTAAAGATGACGATGATGTTGAATCCCTATGCAAACATCAGTTCATGCCCTATCTTAGTATCATAACTTCTCATAATGCTAGGTCCCTGCCTCTCTCTCTCTCTCTTATTTATCTATAATTCATTTATTCATCAAGTCAGTTGATCATTCATTCAATTTTTCACTCACTCATTCCCTATTTCATTCACCTAGTCTGTCAGTCATCCAGTTGATTAATCATTTGTTCCTCCAATCAGCCAATCAATCAGTCAATCAGTTCATCACTTAGAGTCATTCATTTTCTTTTATTATGCTCTTAGGAAGCAGAGATCAAGAAAATGGCAAGACTTGGAAACAAACAGGTTTGATGTCATTCACACAAATTGTAAATATGAAAATATTACAAAATGGTTTTTCCTTGATGTCTTCATTGTACTTTCCACCACAATTCAAAACACAGCTTTAAAATGAAGACCAACCTAACCAAACTGTGATTAGTCCATGAAATTGCAGTGTTAACACAAAACAAATGTAACCAATCTCAAACATTTAGAATATTTATTACAAGAGTCTTTCTTTTATTACATGCAGCATGGAATACAACAAACTTCATAAATTATAACATAAGATAAGTCTAAGTTAAGGTCTACCATTCATTTGACTTGTGTTTTCTAACCATCTTCAACTGAGAATTATTCAGTTTTTTTCATCCAAATGGAAAGTTAACATCTATCTGTTGAAAATTCATTTACTTAGGCTGCAACAACACTTGCCAAGCAGCTGGTTAATCTACGAAAACAGAAAACTAAAAATATGACTGTAAGTTCCCGTGTGATGGCCATTGGACACCAGTCACAAGCCATGCACGCGTCAGCAAAAATGGCAGGTGCCATGTCTACAGCTACTAAGGTATGACTAAGGATTTATTAGTTTATAATTGTTTCAATTTCTAGTATTTTGGCTTCTAGTTTTTAAGTTACTTTGAACAGCTTTATCTTAGCATGGTATCAATTGCGTAAGGTGTGTGGGAAAGATGAAAACAACACAACCAAATCAGTTAAGTGTCCTCTACGGCCAACAAAAGCCCTGATGTGTTTTCTGGTGAAACAGTCAGAATTCTAAACAACAGGAAAAAAACCAGGGGCCATTTTGTTGCTCAGTGTTTTGTTTGTATTTTTGTTTAACAACAACAACTCAAATGTGCTCAACAACAATTAAGGATGTATTAAACAGAAAATAATTATTAATTGTAATTACGAAAAACTAGAGGGTACCTACACCCTAGGATAATTAAACAGCTCAAAATGACAGAGAGCTGCTCTGCTCCAAGGTGTATGTTTTGTGGGTTCTGTTGCCTTTAGTTGATATAGTAAAATGGCATACTAGGTGAATAATTGCTTATCATGATGTCCTTTTACTCTGGCAATCCTTTTTAATCAGATTATCATATTGTAATATGTTTCTGTAGACCATGGGAAGTGTAAATGCCCAGATGAATCCAGCACAATTACAACAAACTCTGCAGAACTTTGAAATGGAATCTTCAAAATTGGACATGAAGGAAGAAATGAGTAAGTTCTTTCAAAGTCTTTTTAAATGCTTAGTAAATTGTGGTGGAGTGTAGGTGACGGTAGCCACAAAGGAGAGAAGCATTCTTCCTGGCAAGAAGGAGGTCATCATAGCAACTGAGCTGCATCCCACCTGAGAAGGTGACCCTAAAGCCAGCTGGTGCTATTTTCTTTTGTTTTTAATACCTAGCCTAAATTATATTTAACCTCATTTAATTTGAAAAACTGGAATTGCTCCACCTTTCATGACATAAACAGGGCAATAAACTTAAGTTTTTCAAAGAAGCATTTTGTGACCTAATTGCCAGAAGTTGTATTTAGTCACAGTTTGTTATTGAAGAAAAGGAGGAAACATTGATAGTGTTGGATGAAATAAAATTAACTCACTTTAACTAAGTGAGAAAAACATTACAGCTTTGTTTGCATGACCACCAAACACAAGTTGTCAAAGCGATAACTTTTGCAGCAAATTCCAATGCTGAAACTTTTTCCACTTGTCATGGCAACCAAAATAGTGGCAGGCTGTACACTGGAGTCAGTATCAAAAGGTCTGTGGTGGCACCTGGACCAGGGCATTTTTTTTCAGAGCCTCTTTCTGCCAAGGAACGTTGGTGGTTACTGAAAAATTATGGAGGAGATGTGAGGGAGTGTATGCTCTTCCTTTCCTTGATCTGAAACTGTTTCATAGTGCTAGCCTTTTGTTGGTGTAAGCCAGATAAAAGGAATACTGCATTGACAAATAAAACTAAGCTATATTTATCATCTAACATCAACTAAGTTTTTAGCATTTTCCCTTCTTTCTGTTTTATTCTAGTGAATGATACTTTAGAGTCAATATTAGATGAATCAGGAGATGAGGAGGAGCAGGATGCGATCGTCAATCAAGTTCTTGATGAGATCGGCATTGAAATATCTGGGAAGGTATGTGGAATGGCTCTAAAGCATTATTGCTTCCTTCAACATAGTTTCCTAGTTCTTTTCTCACTCCAAACTCATTTCTTATGTATGGTAATTTCAAACTGTTATTTACTATCAGGGTCTGCTTGACATGTGTAATCACATGATGGCATCATATTACGTGATCATTGAAGTCCAATCAGAATAATAGAAAGTTGTAAATGTTGAACCTATTCTTATGCATAAGTCTCAACTGCAGATGGCATTTGAATACCAAGTTGCCGCTAGGTAACTCATCCTCAAGTAAAATACGATGTATTCATTTATTGTTAATTCGATCAGGCTCCTTCTCAGGGAAGAAAGAAGTGGCTAATTTTGTCTTCCTCTTAACATGCATCTTCACGTTCTCCTTCCATTATAAATAATTTTTTTCTACGACAAAAAAGCTGAACTTTATATTTAGAATTGTCTATGGAAAAAACGGATAAATGTCAGTGTTTGGGCAACTGCGCAACTGCGCACGTACCCCTCCCCCAACCCAACTTTAACTCTAACTAGTTATCAGTTGAATGTGGTTGGGTCAGGGGAGGGGTAGGTGCGCAGTTGCTCCGACAGTGACATTGATCCAAAATGGCGAAGAAAGGTGTCCAAGACGCCATGACTGTTGTTTTCATTTGAAATCGTCAAGATTTTATTTACTCATTCCTTTAAATAAACGAGCATTCATTTGTTTAGATGGCAGAAGCACCTTCCGCGCATGGCGGTAAATTACCAACAGGACAACGGGCGGCAGCTTCCAAGGGAACATCGGATGCAGATATCGAGGAGATGTTGGCTAAGTTGAAGGCCTAAAACAGAAGAATGCCTCACACTGTGCTTACATCTAGGGTTAATTTTTGCATGCCTGATTATTACTCATTTCATTTGAAGGAGTTTGAAAAATAGTGCTGAAATTACTAGATTGTTGTTACATTGGAAAAACGTTTTCTGTGAAGTCAAACTCTCATTCAAAAATTAGGGATATAATAACAGTTATTTAACTCTGAATTTTGGCTGACGTGGTTGATAAGATAATGCCAACAGGTTGTATTGATTATAACTCGTTTTGCCTCCTGAGTAAAACTCGATTAATGAATAATGGGCCAAGTGTCACGTGAGAGTGCCCGAGTTGTGTGTCCAAAGGAAAGTGAGCAGGGCTCGCGAGTATTCGCGTTCATTCATTCTCCCCCTGGCGATTATTTCCCTGGGAAAATGGAAAAATGTGAAAAGTATAGGAACAAATAGTTGAGAACAACGAGGATATTCTATAATAAGTGTACTGTCAACAACGCATTTGTTTGTAAAAATATCAATAAATCATGTTTGAAAGTCTGTAATGTGCCTTTTGAATTTCATGATTTTATCAGCAAAATGGACAAAGAAAGGAGAGAAAGTGTTAAGAGCTCTTCGTTTGATCGTTCGGAGAGGAAAAAGCGAATGACGATATGTCAGCGGTTCTTCTTACGCGCGCGGGGTCGCGAAAGAAATAGGTTTTGCTCTGTCTTTCAATTTTACAACTAGATTTTCGACCCAACGCCGCAGAGCGTTTTAACGAAAAAATAAAGGGAGTGTTCCTTGCCTCTTACGTAGGCTGTGAAGCAACATATTTGTTTCTGAGAGCGTTCCAGTGCTCCAGTATGGTGAAATGGTGTAATTGAGGAATAATAACGCTAAGTCATTTACTGGTTTGAATCCCTAACTGTAAAGATCGGAATTGCTCGGGAAATTTTCTCGAGTTTCTGCTCAGTCGTTGCAGTGGTCTTCCTAAAAATCATGTTATTTAAGAAGAACCCCACGAAATTTCGCAGCATGGCCTTCTTTAGATCGAGTTGTCGTGAGAAGAACACTAGGGGGTTTGAGAGAACCACTTGAAACCACGACGGCAACGGCAACGGCAACGGCAACGTCAACAAAAAGGGTAATGAGCAGGAACGATGGCTGTGTACGTGCGTTACAAATCTTTATAAATTTCTTTGCGTCCTCTGCAAAACAACAACGTGAAATGACCAAACTTGTCTAGAGGACGTGAACGACGACGGCTAATTTTTTAAATGTTTATTTCTAATTTAACACCGTGTTCCCTATTCAGTTTCGAGATAGTTTTAACAGTGAAAAACAAACTAAATAACTTAAGAGAATCGCGAGATTTGGAGGTAAAGTATAAGTTCATTTTTTAACCGACTTCGTCCACGGCGTCGCCATCGTCGTTTCTTAAACTTCCTTCTGTTGCTGCAATGACATATGCATATTTACAACTAAGATTTATTTTGTGCATACAATTTCTTGGAAACCGATTAGTCTCCATCGAGTTTTCAGCCAGGCGTTAAAGATTTTTTCCAAAATTGTCTGGTAAGAATACTTTCAATTCTGAAGAGACACAAAAAATTTCGGAGACGAGGCCAGAAATAGGGAATTTTGTGAAAGTGCGAGCGAAAAGCTTGTCAAAGACAGATAGCTAGTAAGCTAAGTCAAACATCTTTAATTATTCCAGATGCGGATAAACAAGTAATTGATACTGTTCTAGAGATTAGCCTGCTAATCAATTAGCCAATGAACACCTTTATAATTTGACATAATTGTGCAAAGAACACCGTTGCTATGATAGCTTATGCAAAATACAACTAAGATTCTATTTAGCGCATTATATTTCCTGGAAACCGACCAGTCTTTGCGCTTTCAGCAACTGAGGCGTAAAAGAATCTTCGCAAAAATTTTCAGGTAAGGTGAAATGGTCTTCTTTATACTGTAAAATAGGTTGCGGTTGCACGGCATTATGGTGAATACACTTCATAAATGAATTAGGATCGTTTACCTCACTTCGAAAGTATATCGTGACGTCTCGACTGCATAAGGCGTATTACCTTCAAGCGACGAAGAAGGCGTGCAATCGAAACTTCACGTTTTACGTCGTAAGTTAAGACATCGTGAGACAAACAACAATATTTCATGGAGATCTTCATATTTTTCTAAGACTCAAGAGCTCGTTAAAACCTCTCGAGAATTCTGTTTTATACTGAAGCGCAGTCAAGAAATTAAGATTCGCTTGCTTAAGGGGCGTGTTTACTAATGGCTGCTACTCCGTGCTTAAGGATAAATTATAACATGCGCGTGTGATTTTCTTATTTCACTCCTATTGAGCTGTAAGGGTCTACGTCTCCATGGCGCACGGCCGTGCACGTGCATAACGCGACTTGGCATCTGCATTTTACTGCCAACTTTCGACCAATTTAACCGCGAGTTCCTGCTAAGCAACCTACCGAGAAACTGTGATAGAAAACTAGCGAGCCAGCACCCCTGATTTTGTTTATCCGCCGGTATTACAGTCTATCAAAAGAACAATGTGGTAGCTGCTCAGGAAAAATCTGCAAGTTTCACGGATTGCGTCTTAAGCTTGAGTATTTAAGCTATGTTTGCCTCAATTTTCAATTTATTCAAAGAATTGAATTTTCAATCAACGACTTGTTCAAAGAGTTGAATTTTCATCGACAACTTTAGATAAACCATCAATCAAACAAGACCAAATTTTCCGTCTGGGGGACATAGGGAATTCGGTGAAGTGATTGCACAAGGCTATAGTAAGTCAAAGAATGCTAGCTGGGTTTGCATGAAAAACAGTTCAATAAATAACACCTTTATTCAATACAGGATTCAACGCCAGGTGTTGAAGAAGCAATCAGCTGTAGCACTTCCAGAATTATGCAAATCTATTTGAAGTCAGGGCTGCATTACTTAAAAATGACAGGTCCAAAAATAAAATGCGTCGCTTTTTCCTGGGTTTGTTTAGTCTGTATCTTGTTTGGCTCGCAATTTGTTTAGTTTGTTTGCCATCCACCGTCATATAACACGGCGAAACAGGCGTAAAAAGGTCTAAATACGGACCAATACGGGATTCGTAAAAGAAGAAGCCCACGCCTGCTAAGAACGAATTCGTCACGCTCCAAGTTTAACCCTTTAACACCTAAGAGTGACTAACATCTGATTTACAATATCACCTCTGAATCATGCAGTAAGGTCACGAGAATAAAGAAAATTATCAGCAGCTAGAGAAGCTTTTGATTGTTAAACAAACTCTCCCTGTCAGCACCTTAAAGAACGTATGGAAACAGTATGGAGAAAACCTTTACTGATGTTAGTGTGTAAATTGTTAATAAAAAGTGTGCAGAGTTTTTTTTTCGCCGTTCCCCAGCCCCCTACCCTCTACCTCAACCATCCACTCTAGCTCCAACTCAAACATGGCCGGTCGGATAAACGATTGCGAGCTTATAACGTTAGCTCGCATTAATGAGGCACCTGCACTACAGGCTACCTGACGGTTAAGTGTGCGTGAGATTCTTCCTAAATTTCGATTTATCGTTGAAGTGAATACACTTTCCATGTAATGTGTGACCGTTCGTCCCTGGATGAACTTCGGATGTGGATCGCAACGTTTCGACTGCTTACCGCGAGTCTTCTTCAGCTGTTCAGACGATGATGAAGAGGACTTGCAGGCTGCAGTCAAAACATCAACAAATGGTAGTTCTTATAGATCCTCTTCGGAAGAAGAAGACTCAGAAGTCCGTTGAGACCTCATGTGACTTCCGCTTTATACCGAAGCGCGGTCAAGAAGCTAAGATTCCTGTGCTTGGAGAGCGTGCTCTCCATTGAACGATATTTTCATCGGAATATTTTGAAAGTAAATGCTATTTTTCTTCAATAAAGATGCAAACATCAGTTATTTAGAGTCCCATTTCAACCGACCCATCCAAAACACGTAACTCTAGCATGCGTCTTATGTCTATGTTTACAATAAGCAGCTGGCCTCGTCGTGACTTTGAATAACAAGTATTTGTTAACGTTTTGCCTTTTAAAAATAAGACTAAAAGTGATTTAAGTCTCATTCTTCTGAAACTGGTTATGCAATCAGACCGAGCTCACGTTTTGTAGCCTAAATGAAACAAGCTTTTTTGAGTACAGTCGTTTCCCAGCAGGGTGCAGATCCCTGAAAATATGCTATTTATAGCGCGTTCCAGACGTCAACTGAACAAAGCGTGCAAAGTACAACTGATAACATCAAAGGATGCTTTACAGGATTTTTTTTTTCATACCAAGTTTTTTTTTTTAGATATATAACCAACATTCTAAATTCCGAATTTTTCTCATTGAAATTAAAACTTACCTGGCCTCGAATTCTGTCACGGTTTTCTCACTTCGGATAGCAAGCATTCTCATCGCTCAAGTTTATTTCCTTACAAAGCTACGAGAATAGGCCTTATTCGTATTCCCGGACGGCCTTGGGCGAGTGCACGATGTCG